TTCCCACCTTCAAACAGAAAGCACATCTCATTCGTCGTGGGAAGCCTCCCCCTCCCCCATCACCTGGAGGCGCCCCGCAGTTCAAAAACTCTGGCCTTCTGCCGGCTCCTCTACGGGCCCTGCTGAGGTAGCCTCGGTCTTCCGGGCTGAGAAGGAATTCGGGCGTATAAATTCTTAAAGAAGGGCTTTAACTTTCAGTTTTGGAGCGCAGGGTTCTCTCAGCGTGCGGTTCGGGGGGTGGGGGTCCGGGAGTCCTCGACAGCATGGCTTGGGCCTCTGGTGCCCTTTTCTTCAAGCACCGTTCCCTGCTGTGATGCACAAGCTTGCATGGTTCGCAGCCTAAAGCATGCTTCATGCAAAATGCCTGTTTGGCAAGTATAGCATGACGGTGTCTCTGGACACCACTCCGATGTCTCACCTACAGCCCTTGAGCACCCCCACAGCGCGGAAAGCTCCAGTACACGGCCCCAGGCTCAAGGAAGCCGAGAGGCGCAGGTCCAGCCGAGGCCTTGGGTCTCGGCCGACTCGGAGCGGGATGCAACGCTGGCCGGCCTGGATGCTGGCTTCAGGTGTCTAGGGGGGGGGGTCGAGGCTTCGGGTGTAAGAGCTTTTCAGTAGAGGGCTTTAGGTTTCGCGGGGTTTCAGAGTTTAGGGTTTGGGGTGTTCGGGTCAGGTTTCGGCAAGATCTGCAGCCAGAAAAGACAGGGATCTGCAATGAGTAGCCTGCAAATCCTCAGCCCTGAGCCCTAAACCCCCCGAAGCGCCAACAACCTAAACAGCAAAAACCCTAACCCCTCTCAACCCTGTTGTGTGTGTGTGTGTGCGCGATGATTGGAAGCGTGTCATTGAAGCGGGCTGCGTCATGAAACTGCAGCGGACCTGGGTCTGCGCTTGAAGCTTGGGAGCTTAGCTAGTGTCCTGAAACCCAACACCCAAAGCCTTCCAAATTATGATCCCTTACAAACGAAAGACTCAGCAAACACAACTCAAAACGAGAACGATCTTGAAATCCTCAACCCCCTGAGAATGTGGGAGGGCCTGTTCTCGGCAGACTCGGGCGGCTGTGTGGCGGATGCCGGAACGTCGGGCACTTCTGCAAGCCCAGGTGGGGGGGGGGGGGGGGTGGTGTGGAAGTTGGAGCCCAGATATTCTAAGCCCTAAACGCCTAAGGCTGCGAGTTCAGGGAGATTTTGTATGCTGTTTCCGAACGAAGATGCCTTTGGTTCCCGATGATCTTCAAAAGGCCCTTGCTCCAAAAACCTAAGCCATGGGGTGTGCACAAGCCCCGGCCTCAGAAATCCCAACCCGCTTAAAGAGGCCACAGTTATGACCTGTTTTCGGGCTGGGGGCTGTCGGGAAGTTTCGTGTCTTCGAAGCTCAAGCAGAAGCTCGGCGCAGATACCAGAAGACCCCGAATCTAAACGCCACGATGTGATGGTCACCATTGAAGAGAGAATCGCGCTGCTAGAAATAACGTTTGAGGGGTCTTCTAGCAGCCTACGCTGACCCTAAAGCCCTCAAATTCCTGGATGACCTAAACAGCAAGCACCCTGAGATTCAAGAGAATCGCAATCACTCCGGCCTATCGGCTCACCCTTCATTCGTCGTTCCTGGGTGAAGGAAGGGGGTCTGTCAGGCTCAAGGGTTTGGGGGCGTACTGAATTGAGGAGTCGGAGTATGCCTTAAACTATGTAGAGGGGTCCCACAACTATCAATAGCAAATACCGCTCTCTGGGAAGCCTCCAATCTAAGCTTCCGAGAGCTCTCCTGCAAAAAGGGCGCTTGCAACCTGTTGATCTTCTTTCGAGTCACCTTGCCTACATCTGTGCCGCCCTGGACAAGCTTTGCAAGCAAGTGCCCAGTTAGTTTGGGACTTGCCACTAAAGCGTCTTTCCAACTGGTTGCGCTGCTTCACGGGAGCTCGACTCTTCTGGAACCCGGGTTGCAAATGCCACTCCCGGAAACGTTCGACAACACGCTGAGGTTCTTATCGGGTTATGGAGTTATGGGGATTTGAATCCGATGCCCACCGAGGTACCCAGATCGAAGCCAAGCGCTTCGCACACGCGGCCACACGAGGGTCTTGGCCACCAGGTTAGTTTGGAGATTGGGATTCTGGTTCGCGCCTGCTAAGTTTAAGTGATGCTCCTGAAGCCGGATGCTACATGGCCTGTAGTCGCAGCCCTCAAGCCCAGTAGCTACAGGGGTTTAAGGTATAGGGTGGCCACCCCATATGGGATGTATCTCCCTCTTCAGTGCCCGATACCCTTAATTCATACCCCTGAAAGAGGGCTATATAGGACTCCTGATGACGCGCAATGCAAGGCAAGCTGCTTCAGCCTAACGGGCCTAACTGGCCAGAGCGGGGTTACAGATATCTTTTCCTTTTTGAGTTTGTACTTAGGGCTCACGGTGTCCCCGCCTGCCGAGGCCGCGCTTTGGACCTGGCAGAATGTGAGCCCTGAATGCTGCAAGGCATGTGAACCCGCATCTTCTGCATCCTGAGAACCTCTGACATGTAGGACATCAAGGGAGGGGGGGGGGGTCGTCAAAGCCTGGACAAGCCGAGGGCCGATGAGGGCAACAAGTTCACACTATTTGCAGAGATGTGTGGTTTGGGATCCGTCGACGGGTCTACATTTGGGAGGGCTAGGATTTGCCTGCTCAACATTCATGTGATGTGAAGAGGACATGATCCGCCGATTCGGCAAATGCTTTCAAGGCTACGGAGCGTGGCCCTCAGTCTCCCTCAGTGAGGAGCGAGCCTGCCCCGTACTAGGAACACTGAAATCCCCTCGCCTCGAGGAGCTTCGCGGACCAGCCGTCGGCCTGTCGGTCGGAAGCAGGCTTCCCCACTAAGGGCTCCGTTGCTCTTGAGTTCGCTGGGGGGCCCTTAGGGAGGGCGTCCAGTAGGCGTAACGCAGTACTTCGGGAACAGTGGGTCACGTACCTAGAGAGCACCCTCCCTAAAGGACAACATCGACACATGGTGCAAACCCCCTAAACGATCAAATCCCTTCTTTCCTTCCTTCCTTCCTCCCCGCCCACCCAGTCAACGAATCTGAAACCCCTCAAGTCAACAAACCGCAACGGTTCACGGAACGTCTGCCTCGAGAAGCTCGGCCGAAGGCTTGGACTCAACCAGGGCCTCGGCGAGTGTAAGTTCGGGGCCTATATTGAAATAACTTCCTAGTAGACGTAGGGCCTTATCGCTTCAGGCAACTCGACGACGGCGCTTGGGGGGTGCCTGTGCTGTAGGGGACCTGGGCTTTTGCTGGGTGCGGGGTCTTTGGGCTCTTTCCTAAGACGCATAATGCATAAAGTATCGCACGGCTTTTCTAAGCAGACCCTCAAGGGGCCACCCAAGTCCCTATAGAAGCCTTAGGAAGCCGTAGTATGCGAAAGAGTCGCTTCGCAGAGTGGTGTGGGTTAGGCGTTACTTGCTTCGATTTCGAGGGCATGTAGGGCCCACCTCGTCTAGGGCCCAAGGTGGCTGCGGTTGTACTCTTCGTCTTGAACTGCCAGTGTATGCCAAAAGAATAAAAAACAAAACAGCCGCTGCCTCCATGACGGCCAGGGCGTCGTCGGCGCAGGCAGCTTCCCGGACCTGTGCCCCAATGGAGCTTGGGCTGACTGAGGCTGTTACAGGGTCTTCTTGGCCTTAGGGTTTTAGGAGTTTCCGTGAGCTTCTCCCACATGCTGTGTGCTAGCGCCGGCCTGATCGAGCGCCATCTGGAAGCCCCACTCATCCACCTTTCTTGCGTCGCTTCGTGGGAGTGGCTCGAAGGGGACTTTAGGGTTTTCGGGAGAATCTTGGGGCCTTGAGTGACTTAGGGGCTGGTTAGGTTCAGGGTCTAGGCAGTTCGTCTCCCTCGGGATTATCGGACCCAAGGACCAGAACGAGCCCTCTAGCTGCACACCCGAAGCTCGCAAGGACTTGAATCCAAGCCAAAGTCTTGCAGTTCAACGATCCTGAAGCCCCTTTCTTGTTGAGGACTATCTATCGGCGATATATTTAGGGTCCCGACATTGTGTGAAGACCTCCAACTAAGATGATGGTCCGAGAAGACCCTGCATGTCCGCCTCCATTCCTTCCTCGTCGGCTTCGTCCAGAGGCGCCGCCTCCGAAGAGGGGTTTAGGCAGCAAGGCACATGGTATTGGGGGGTCGGGTTCAAGGTTTTTTTGGGGGGAAGCTTGGCCGCGCAACCACTGTCAGAGTTATGACCCCCTGCCCCGACAAAAGGCGAGACGACGGACCTGCTTCAGCCTGGCAATATAGACACGGATGTCTACCACCACACACGAGAACCTCGATACTAATCCAAGATACTACAAGGGACCGTTGATTGAAGCGACAGGCATTGAAGACTTAGTATCCGCAAGCCCTGCAACTTGCAAGCGTGTTCGAATAAAGATGGGAGCCTGTAACGCTACCACTGCACCACCTCCCTCGTTAACATTATATACTTGGAAGTACTTGCACCAACATCAACGAAACGCTTGGCCCTACATCGATTTAATCACGCTGCCTCTGGTGAGCTCTACGTACAAAGGGCCATAATATCGAGGCCCGGACTCATTCGTGTACCTTATACTTACACCCTCCCTCACCCCACCCCCCATGTACCGCTCCCAGGTAATCCTGGCAGACAATCTCTGAACTCTTAATCCTGATAGGGCATGATAGGGTTTAGGGTTTAGATGGGTTTAGGGATGTCCTAGGCCTGGCGATCTCTGCTCTTGGAGACGTCGTACAGGGCTTTCTGACTTGGAAAAAAGGTTACGCAATCTGAGGCGCCCAAACAGCCGTGCCCCAACCCAGGATTCAGCTACTGAATGCTACAACTACAGTCAACGATTTCTTGCGCTCCAATTACCGGCACCTTGCGGATCAGCTCCCGCACCCAGCTCGCAGAACGCCAAAAGCTGGTATCTCTCCCAAACAGGTCTAGTCAGCTGTGATGACGTAGGGCCTTGGAGGATAGCATGCCTGACACAATTACAGCCAAACAGGAGCATGTTGGGAGATCAACATCATGTTCAATGTGTCCTTGCCTTGACTCAGCGCATCAATGCGGTCTCGCAGGACGCTGATCATGCTGAATTGGACCTCTCTAAGCACTTGCTGTTGGAAATCCCAACTCTCTGCGAGACTGCGTGCAAAATGGATCCAAGAATGTCCTGGGAATCGGCAAAGCATTCGTGGCATAGTGGCGGATTCGCTCTGTAGAAGGCTTCCAGCACCCTTGCAACCCTCGTGTTTCGGTTTGATGATGAAGCAAGACTGGCCACCTGTTAGATACCCGCGAAGCACAATGACCCTCTCGGTCACATCCAGAACCAAAGCTTTGCCGAGATCCGTCCGTTCTGTAGGCGGAACGGAACCATGGGCGGTGCCATCGACGGCGTGAGCATTGTGTGTGTGGCACGGGCAGAGAGTCTTCGTTCTGAGCGAGCGCCGTCCTGAAGCTGCGTGACCTTCTTCACGAAGATCATGCAGCTTCAGGACAAGGCGCACGAGTCTTAGGGGCAAAGCAAGATGTTCAGCACAGATCAGGTCGTAAAGGATGTGTTTGTGCCCGTGAGCGTGTGTCATCTGCAAGAGTGTCCTTGCCAAGCTGAAGATGGCACGCACAACCACCTACGTGAGGTCCCTCAATTGCACCTGCTGATGCAGATCAGCTGCTCAGCAAAGCGGAAGTCAAGCACCCCATTTGTGCCGAGGAACGAAACTCCGTGGGCAGAACCTCCTTCCGCTCCTCATGAGCTAGTCCATCTGATGGCCATCAAGATCGACTGCATAGAAGACTCCTCGCGCACGAGATCCAGACTTGGATAGGACAAGTCCTGGCCGCCCTTGGCCCATTGTCAAGGACAGGTTTGCGGCATCCGAGAGTCCCTCGGCCGGAATTGCGCCTGCGCCAGAACGGCTTGCTGCCAGGCATTGTCTTATGGTCTTGAAGAAGCCACGATGAACTGCGTCTGCATAAGGGGCGCAGCGTCGCGCTCCACAACACAACGGCTCCGCGAACTCCACGTCACCCTCCAGGCTGTCGCGCAGGTGTCGTGCAAATTTCCCCCATGAACAAATATCACTCGTCACCTGAAGCACCATATCCGACTGGATCGTGCAGTACGCGTTCCGGCGTTTCATGATTTACTCGGCACTGGAAATCCTCATTTCAGGATCCCAGGCAGATCCAGTCAGACAACCTGCTTCAGACAACCTGCTCAAGCACAACCAACGCTCTTGCAGCACAACGGACATCATATCTCTGTTCCCAGCATCCCCAGCTGCATCCATGCCTGGTGGGCATGCAAGACCGTATCATGTGACTCCTGCAAGCTCTTCAGAAGGTCCTGGCGGACCACGGGATGGCAACCAACCTTTTCCGATTGCAATGGAAGCAGTCGTTGCCACCGCAGCAGACGAGCAATCCTGACGTGGTTAACATGGAGGTGTGGGCGTACCCTGCAGGCATGTTATGGCATGTTGTTGCAGGGATGATCCGCTGAAGCTGGAAACCGGCTCCAGTAAGCATGGCGAACTGCATTGCATTACATTGCATTCTTAAGCTTGGCAAAGCTTGGCATGCGAAATGCTGCAGGCGCCGGCAAGATGGAAAACAGTTTTGGGTGCTGCTGATCACCTGCTTTCTGTTTATATGTGAAAGATTGTGCAGGAACAGACAGCGAGAAAAGACTTAGGCATGGCCAGCAAAGTTGATGATTTGCTGATGAACAGCGCTGAGTATCCAGCACAGAGTACACTCCATTCGCAAGGACTGGGAACGAAGCGGAAATGCTTGGGTCGTGTTGAGAAAAGTGTGGCGTCCCGCCCTGAGTCGAGCGCACGTGAAGACTTTTTGGAACGCTGCCTCTGGATGGGGGGGGGTGAGTCCCAGCAAAAGAAAACCCAAAGCACGAAAGCCAGCTGCAACGCTCGGCAGAGCGAAGCCGAATGCCCAAGACTCAAAGCTCCCCACAAAGGAACTACATTAGGAGCCTTCAGGTAGCACAAATAAGCAAAAGCCTCATCTGGGTAAAATTTCCAGCCTCGGCAGTCTTCGTCGCAGTCTCTTGGCAGCTTCTGCCTCTCACGGCTTAGGGTGGAATTAGGGCTTACAGGGCCGACTTGAGCCTTGAAGGGTGTGTGGGTAGTGGTGCAGGGTCTTCGGATTCCCCAGTGGAGTGCACAAGGCAGGGTCTTAGGTGCCGAGGGCATCGTAAGCAAGAATCCAGGACGAGCCCAATTGCCCCCCCCCCCCCACCCCCCTCCCACCCCCCCCCCAAAAAAAACAACAATAATGAATATATATATATATATATATACACCGAACATACATCTCGGGCCCGAAGCCGCCTAAACCTATCTCAACCCCTTCTCGGCTCTCTGAGGCCCCGGGCAGAGTGTCTCGGAGACTTTCTGCGCTGCGCTCTTCTCCACCTCTCAGGGCACGAACAAGTGAAGTGGAGATTCGGCTGGGTGAGCTGGGTGAGCTGGCTGAGCTGGGTGAGCTTCGGAGGGTTTAGGAGAGTCGTAGGGCTTCCGGGTTTTGGCGGAGGAGGTGAACAGAAACCCACAGCAACTAGGAGGCCAACATTCCGGAACTTATCCGAATCTTATAAGGACAGCCTCCGACCTGAAGAAGTACGTCGTGCTACAACAAGTCCGCCAAGAAAAAAACCCCGTAAAAAGTGTCATGCGAACCTCTGCAAGCCAGTCTGCCCAGGGCGGTAGAGTACGTGGCAAAGAAGCAACACTGCGGATGAACATTCCTATTGCGGGAGCTGTGGAAGCCCCATAGTTGTACCATCCTCACGCCCCGTGACGTCTCGTGGCGGAGACCTCCTGAGGCCAGGACCCACCCCAGATGCTGTCCACACTGGCTACAGAAGCGGGAGGAGCCGCGGATTGCCATGAGATTGCCTCTTCAGGCGCTTTTCTTGTCGCTTCGGCTTGCAGGTTGGGGGCTTTGAGGGCGGCTTTCGGGGGGAAGTTCTCAAGAGGCCGAGCTCCAGATACCGAGGCCCTGCAACCGGGTTCAGGAGGGCCCTTCCTCCTGACAGCAGAAGCAGCTCAAAGAAAAGGTGGAATCCCAACTCAAAACCTCCCCAACACCCCTCCTCTAAACCTTCCTCCAGCTTTGGGGGTGCCCCCTTCCCCTGCCTGGCGGCTTGGAGTCGGAGGAGTTCGGGGAGCCTCCGGTGGGGGTGCTCCAGAGGAATCTCTTTTTGCAGGGGGAGGGTGGGGCGGGGGGGATGAGGGGGGACCTCTCTTTTCAAAGGTGCCTCAACGACTCTTACAGGAATGCTCCTCTAGTGCTCATTGTCCCCACAATCGCCGAAGCCGAGATGGAGCTCACATGGTCAGGGTCCAGGCTGCAAAGTATCGCACTGCCGTGGGGAAGCTATGAGTACAGGCCTTGAAAGGAATCGTGCATCTCAAGGAAAGGCAAAAAACGAAATGCTCGAGGCCAATGCGAAAACAAGGCGGCTTCTGTTTTCGGTGTTTACGCACTTTGGGTTCAGGTGTTCTGGGAGTTTTTGTTCACTGGAGCTTGACTCAGGATCTCAAGCTGCCCGAGACCCGAATCCTGTGAAAGACACCTGGGAACCGGAGCACAAACCTCCGAGCCACTCAGAACCCTCCACCCTGCCCTTTGAACATTACCTGAAGCATTCTTTCAGATTCACTACAAATGCCCACCCCAACAGGACGAAATCCCGTCGGAGAGTCCAGAAGTTATCTTCTGTGCCATGCGGCGTGGGGTGTTGGGCTTGCAGTCACCAGCTGCGCCCCTTATAACCTTACACGTAACACTACATTTGTACACGTTGTCAGACCTATTAGAAGGCATATGATCTTTGCATCCTTCACCGTGCCTTCTCCGCTGCTGTCGCCCTCGCTCCTGCCGAAGGTATATGACGGTCGCTTGCGCGTTCGGGTTGATTGGGGTGTGCAGTCCACACTTTGCCTGCGTCAGCGGGGCATCATCGATTTCCGGGCTCCTCTTATTTCTGCCCTGCGTAGGCTGCGGCTGCTCTCCGCAGGTGCTCCACACCCCTGCAGGCCAGTGGGCCTGAGAACTTCCTTCCACTCAATCCCCCCTCCCCCCCCCCCGGAGTGATGGTGATGATGCGGGCGTGTGCAGTGGCTGACAGCTGCGCTATTATTGGGCTTTTTCTTTTGGCCTTGGGCGGGGTCCTCGGGTGACAAAAATTTGAAATTAAGAGATTTGCCTTATGCATTAAGGGGTTTGGAGTCTCTGGCAGCCCCTCCTCGAGCTCGAGGAAGAAGAGCTGTCGGAGCTGTGGTGGCTGCGGTGCCGGCCCCTGGCAAGGAGGGCTTTAGGCAAAAGGTGAAAGGATTCGCATTGGGCCTCTGGGTGTCGGATTTCCCCTGCTGTGAGGCCTCAAGCCTAGAACTCAACACGATTTGCAGCGTGCATGGGACAAAAATGGACAAAACAGGGTGGGAACATCAGATCAGATGAAATGAGCTCCCGGGGGTTCATGCAGCAATGCAGCTATCGGAGAAGGCATGAGAAGGCTGTGACACCTCGACCTCCGTGATCGGCGCCGATCTCGCCTGCCGAGCGAGTTGGCAGGCTTACAGACATCGTCCTCCCACATTTGACTCTCCTTGCACCTCTCCCCTGGCTGCAGGACTTGGAAGCAAATTCCCACATGGAAGGAGGTTTCACATAGGAGGCTGCGACTTCCAACTACAGGGCTTGCGGAGGGGGCAATGCGAGCCAAGACGTTTGAAGTAGGAAGCACAGCAGCTCCTGTTCACGGTGAGCAATGGGTTGTACTCTGAAAGCTCAACCGCATAACTCCAAACCCTCAAATCCCTAAATCCCACGTCGCCGATAAGGTGGGCACACGCAACACTCGACAAATCAGCCATCACATCTGAAGACCCTTCAATGTACCAAGGGCTTGGTTAAGGCTAGGTCCAGGTGAGAAATTCGAATTTATTGGGCGGAATGCTTGAAAGAGTCCGCAGTTGGAGTAAGAAGCTTTCTCAAGGAATCAGGAAAACAGGTTGACATTGAGGGTCTGAGGGTTCTTTGAATCTCTTGAAGAGTTTCCTCCCAGCTTTTGACAGCCGCAGGCACAGCTGCAGGGCTAAGGCGCCGGTGTTCAGCAGCCATTCTACGTACTTCCGCACACAACCCAGGGTGTTGACCTGGTGTTTAAGGTCTGGGGGCTGAAGCTTTCTGATGAACGCATCTGAAAAACTGGCGAAGAGCTGATCAGGTCTGGGAATGTATGGTCACTCCTGCCACGCAATCCCTGCAACGCTATGTCCCAAAGCCCCCAAAACCTCCACCAAGTTGACAGTCCAACCTAGAAGAGACACCATCAAAGGCTCTGTAAATATCCGAGGCTAGCTTTTGGTCTCATTTGTTCTCTTACATTTCACACATTGGCGCCTGGTTTTCGGCCCAACCTCCCACAAGCAGAACTGAACCTTCACATCGCTCCGTGGCAACTGCAAGCTAGGGTTCAGGCTTTATCTAGGGCCCATTTTGACTCCAACATGGTATTTATAGGGTTTAGGGTTTAGGGTCTATAGGGTTTAGGGTTTAGGGTATAATTCAGACCTCATGAGAGCCTGGGCGGAAGTCGGAAAAACAAGCTCGGAGGCGTCATCATTATCGGGTGGTGCCATTAGGCACCCGGCGTCGGCATCTCCCAAAAGGACTCCTCGAAACAGGGAGTGCGCGGACTGGACTTGCTTGGGACAGAAGATTACTTGCGAGCGAAGGTTTTGGAACCCGTGCGACACTGTGACCTCGACTTCCTTCATGGTCCCTGATGAAATGCTTACACACCGTTCAAGAACAGCGTCCAGTCTGGAAGTTTGAGAGGCCGCCGCCGGCATACGGCCATCCCCGCTAGAGCCTTGCACTACAAATAAAGCCTGTTAGCACTGCCGAATTACCGTGTACTCCAAAAGTACACCCCCCCCCCCCCCCCCCCGTCCCCCTATAACCCTAGACCCTACCCCCACACTTCCATCCGCAAAACGCCCCTGCACGTGTGCTCAACACATGCCTCCTCGTACTCCACCGGGAAGATGGAAGGAAGGAACCTTTGTCAGGTCATTAAGCACGACCCATGGTGGCTACAGTGCATCAGTGGGTGCCTGTGTCAGCTTGGGCTTTGCTGCCCGGTGGCGTATTGAGAGCTGTGAAAGCAGTGGACTTCGGGAAGTGCATCGTCTGCGAGACGTACTGGCCATCCCGAAATTCACCTGTGCCGCGGGACGCCGAACCCTGGGTAGATTACGAGCTCTCATTTCAGGTGCATAGCTCATGGTCCAGCGCTCTCGATGATCGGAATAAAACACATCTCGATCACCCATCGGTCATCTCCAAGTAGGGCCTCTGCCTCTTGTCCATTGGAAACAACAGGCGAACAAAAACCAAACCCCAGTTCCCCTACTTCGTCACATTTCTTAGTGCAAGCTTTGTCGAGAAGCTTCAAGATCTAAACCTTAAACCCTCACTCAACCCCTCCCTAAACCCCTAAACTCCTAAACCCCTGAACCCCTGAACCTCAGACTGTCGACATGCTTTACATACCTACACACTCACTTGGGCAGGAATGCAGCCCGCCCAACTGAGAACAGGGTCGCAGCGACAGCATGACGGACACTGGACACTCCCCTCCAAAAGGTCCCTGCCACCCATAGGGGGACTTGCCAAGCAGTCGCCGGTTGGGTCGCCGTGAGGTAAGTCGACTGTTAAGAAACACAGAACACCAGCAGGGCATTCCCCCAAGCTAGACTGCTCCTGTAGGCTTTATCACCCTCAAACCAGCGTCTAAGCCAAGCTTCAGAACTGGTAGTAGTACCACCCGACCAGCAGAGGCGTCAGAACGAACACCTCGGGTGGACGCCGGAAAACGTCGATTGAAGCGACTGGAAGTGGATTGACAAGCTCTCGAAGGTGTTTCGAAGGGCAGACCTGGCATGCCTGGGTTAGTATTTCGCGCAAGCTTTTTGGAAGTGTCCCAAGCCGGCTTTCAACTGACTGCCGTCCTCAATATCGAACCCGTTTGGTGTCTGGGGAAGCCGGCAACCGTGAGATGTGGCGAGTGCCATGTCTAGCACAAGCAGGCTCGCGTTACCAAGCTGCATGTTGTATGTTGGGGTATGTGCTGTAAAGAAGTTGCCACCTGCCGGCAGCACGCCATAGATCCTCATCTCATGACCCTCATACAGAGCCGTCATTGCATCAGCACATACTCGGTGCAGCACTCGGCCAAGCTATCAACCGGTGAACCTCCTACGTCTTGCCACATGGTTTGCATCTCGGGCGCAATGTAGAGGCTGCGATACTGATACAGGAAGACGTTTGTCAACATCCTCCCGGCTCATGTGCCAACAAGAAGTCTTCGATTGCACGGAACGTATCCCGACCATTGTACACCCCAACTCCCGCCAGAACTCCCGGTGCCGAAGATGTGCAGTGCCTTCGGCTGCCTAATAGCTAACGTGTATAAAAGAATGTATCTGAATGTATCTCAAGGACGACCTTACAAGAAATTCTCAACAAAGGCCGTGTCCTCTGGCAGCTGCTGCTCTCGGCACACTGGTCCTTTGACACCGAGGATGGCTGTGGGGGGCTTTGATTAGAGGGCTTAGAGGGTTCAGAAGGGGGGTTTTGCGAGGTGCGGGCTTTTCGGAACCCAGCGTGACTTGCTCCTGGGCGCTTTGGGATTGAAGCTTGGATGAGGCTTGGGCTAGGGCACTGATAGCTTTAATGACCCAAGAGTCTCAGCTAACTCGCAAAACGCTTGCGAAGTCGGGTTTGATGGCCTCGAAGCCAGGCGTTACAACTTACGAAGTTGAATGACTCCATTGTCGCGGCCACGGTGCAGTATCCAGTACACGTCTACGGCATTCCAAAACCCCGAGGTAAGGATGACAGGGAGCCCCAAACCCTTCACCTCGAAAAGTGTACACCACAGTGCAACATAATCCTTGAGCACAAGAATTGGCAAAAGCAGAAGTTGTGCAACTAAAAGTTCAAGGTCTAGCTACAGCTCCTTCGCGCGCCCTTGGCTGTATCTCCCGCTATACTGGCATCTCGTGCTCTCTGCATAACATCATAATCTGCTATGAAGAACCTGTATGCAACCCCCACATCCTTAGGGCGCATGCAAAAACAGCATTTTGTGCCGGCTGCTGCGCACTGTGCTCTCGCGTCAATCAGCCTGCTTGGGGCCCTACTCACCCTACTCCAGATGTTTTGATACACAAGCAACTTGACCCTTGGACCCAGCAGCTACGGTAAAGATAGCCTTGTATAGGGTTGAGCACTGCGGGGGACTTATAAAGATTTCTCCAAGAATATCTTGCAAGGTGTTCTGGACCGTACTACCCAGGGCCCCTCTTTATGACATCTTACGCTTAGACTATGCAAGATTCAACTCGTCAACATTATGCTTATGGTCAACAGTCTGGAGGAAGGTGCAGGAGTGGAGGTCACTGCCTTTGGTTCAGGTTTCGGGAATTTGAAACAGGAGTGCTTGGCATTGCGGCTGCTCCACATCTATCTTTCCATCCTTGAAGGCACTGTTTGCCTTGCGCCACTCCTCTGTCGTCCGGATATCCAAAAAACCAGAGGCCTCTGCTCCCCTCCGCATGGCACGCAGGTTCCTCCCTCGCATGTTGAGTGTCTGGACATTGTCTTCCCCACCGGCCTCGTTGTAGACGATGCTCGCGTTCATGACTCTGACCTTCGTGACTTTTAGCGCAAGGAGCTGCCGGAAGCAATCCTCGTAGAGTCGGGTACCTGCACCGTCTGCCCACGACTTGATCCCGAGGATGCTGCCGACCATCTGATTGGATGGGGATCCCTTCAGGGCGAGCTCGTGATCCTTTTCAAAAGTTGCCATGCCGCTCGCGTTGTCGCCACTTGCATCCACAACAACAGTCAGGCCCTTTTTTTCAAGATCGTCCAAACTTTTCTTGACCTCAGCCTCGAACGCGGAAGCATCCATCTGTAGCCACCGTTTCTCTATGTAGCTGCTGAACTGGTCGTTGGGCTGGAGCAGCTTCTCTATCCTATCAATTCTGTGCTGCAGTGTTGCCTTGTCGTCGTCCTGCTGCAGAATCTTCTTGGCAAGCAGCCGGGCTTTGGTTTGCTGGTCCATGCTTTCGCTCACGTAGGCCTACTAAAGCCTTTTTTTTTCCGCTCCTTGCTTACCTCCAGCATCACTACGACTATTTTTTTGCTCATTCGAGACTAGCCTTAGATTTCCGAATGAGGCCTTTACAAACTTGGCACTTGGACGGACCCTGGGAAGGTCTCAGCAGGGTCAGCGTGGGACGACACTACTCAATCAGCCTTGAACTGGCGGAGCTGCTGGGCTGTTAGAGTCCTACTATTTCTATACGTGAAATGTATACGAATACGAGTGCTTAGGGGAGACTGTGATGAAAGGGCTCAAGATTTAGGGTGTGCAGTTGTGCGGGTTTGCCATTCAGGAGGTGGGGGTTACTTCTTGAGGCTTGGGCTTAGGGCTCAAGGAAATGATAACTATAAAACTTGCAGCGAAAATCCCAAAACCCCCACTCCGGCCTCGTACACGCGGAGGGTCGCGGCATCGTCCAGATCGGCGAATTCAAAGTTATCGTCCGATCTGAGGGCCGACGGAAGCATGGCACAAGCCCAAGGCAAATCTGACCTATGCTTGCCATGCGGAGTAATTCCTCGCAACAGTCATGTACGGTAGATGTATGACAGCACATGTCTAGAACAGTGTGTGTGTGTGTGTGCGCAAACCACAACTGTTGAGCACTCATCGAACAACTACTGGCATGCATGTATGTGTTTCTGCAAATACCCAGACAGATACACATACACATCCATACATCTGACTTTGCAAATGCATGTACATCTGAGGAGCGTATGTTTGGGGAATCATGGGACTCCACACAAGCTCCGACCAACAACCAGAGTTCAGATCATCCAGGGCCACTGTGGTTTTTTCAAACCCAGAACTCTTTAAACCCTTGAGCAACCTTCAAAAGCCTCAAGCCCTAAGGCCCCGCGAGCCCGCCTCCGGTCCGTGACGAAGGGCTCGCACATACTGGGAGTCAGGTGTTGGGGTAGCTTGGGGATTTTGGCGGAGATTCAGCAGGGTTTGTAATTCTCGAAGCTTTTGGTTCAGCTTGAAGACGCGTCTTTCGAAGGTTTCGCGCAGGTTGGGGTTGGGACTTTTGGGCTTTTGGAGACGATATTTGGGCGCCGGCTGTCGCAGCTGCTCTATTGGAAACCCTTTAAAGAAAACAACTTCTCTAACCCCCCCCCCTCGTGAATAAACGAACCAACCCTCGAAACCAATAACTATTTCAAAGAGGAGCAGGCTGGCAAAAACCAGCCGAGCAGCTGCAGCAGCCTCTTCACCTGCTCGTGCATGAGCCCATTGGCCTGAGGAGCGGGCACCCCACCAGCTCCTATTCTGGCAGGCCCGAGACTTCAAGGTACCTCAAATCCCGAAACCTTTAAGCCCCCGATCACACCATTACGCCCCAGACTCCTCGACTCCTAGGCCTTATCGGAGTCACACTTCGGCGATTGGGGGGGGGGGGGGGGCTCCCGGTTCTACAATTTGGAGAGGCTAAGCGTAGGGCTTGGCACATGACATGGCTGTTTGGGTGTAGTGACATTCCGGTGGGGTGATGACGACATCCGTTTCGAGAGGTTTTCACCACTTCCGCTGACCCCGCAACGCCGTAAAGGCTGCCAAAGCGCACGTAAGCTGTCAGAGCTTCAGGGGTGGCAGATCCCTTGCTTTGGGTGCGTTGAGCTTGTTTGTGGCAGGAACTTAAATGTATACCGTCTCTACTGCTTCCGGCAACCCCGGGTTGTCACGACCCGAACATTTGCGGCTTTGAGCCTTTGCTCTTCAGGACACGCCGGAGGCCTCCCTTCCCGGGTGCGGCCAAGATGCCATGACCTGACCACACAAGTCGAACCCTTGGGGTTTAAGGCTTAGGGTTGTAAGCCCCATTAGGGTGTAGGGTTATACAGGGTTGACAACTTATCGTGTTTCTAGGGTTTAAAGGGCCATACAGGAAATATCATTGTTGAAGGCTGCACGTCGACTCCTTGGTTGAAGAGGGGCAACCAAGGAGGGGGGCCCTTAACAGGGCGTTCGGCTTCTAGAGAGGGCTTCTTCCTAAACCCTAAACCCATAAGGCGCTCTGCGACATGAATCATTCTAAGGCGGTCTTGGACACATGGATACAGGACATGGCTTCGTGTCTTGGGTGGTTTGCATGTCAAGTGGCTAGACTCCCAACCCTGCTAAGCTGGAACACAACAAGACCACATAAAAACCCAAATAGTAGGATTCCCTCAGAATAAGCACCCCAACAAGGTCCCCCTAACTTCGGAAACCCCCAAATTGCTTCATCATTGCCAGGAGAACTGTCATGACCAGGCCCTAAAATCTGATACTCCGGTTGTCAAAGATTATGAACTCCCTAGCGCCCCTGACAGGGGCATAGGCTAACATGCTGGGCTTTGGGGGCACGTGGGGTTTAAGGTTACGTTTCGAGAGTATTTATAATAAGGGCGTAGTGTAAGTATAATGGTTGGGATTTAGACAGCTCGTCTGGCGGACCCCATGCAGCTCCTGCATGGCTACATGTAGCGACATGACTTCATTCGGGGGGTTAGTTTCGGTATATGTGAGAGTCCCCTTCTCCTTTCCGAGCAGCTTCGTCCAGAGACAGGAGGAACACCAGGGCCACGGAGTTCACGATGATCTCGGGCATGGAGATGGCTAAGAGCTAAGGCAGCTATGGCATCAAAGAACAACCTGATGGACTTAATGAGAAAATTGAATCGAACGAGCTCAACATCGCAATCGTCGCAACGGCGATTGTGCACTGCTGACAGGCGGCTACAGGCTATGCAACAGTGGAGTCGCTGCTGCTGCACGTAACTGCCTGAACATGCCCACCGCGTTTCTCAGGCGCGCGCCGTATCTATATCTGAGGTCTCCATCAAGAAGACGACGCCCGCCTGTGGCAGAGGCTGCAGGCAGGGAATTGAGATGCCACACAAGGATTACCATCAATGAGTTCATCACCCCCCCCCCCCCCCCCCCACAACAAAAAACAAGAATACCCAAAAGCCTAGCTCTGCAGCCCAAAGCTCTTTCAAGTGCCAGCCTGCAACACCTAAACCCCACTGGACCCCAAAGCCACCAAGCAGGAACCCGAGGTTATTGAGGCCGGGAGTTTTGAAGGCGATGAGCAAAGGGCAATCGAAACTATGGAGTCTCCATTGCGGGACACTCCTTTCAGGCTGAAGGTACCACAACGGCCCATGATTTAGATCACCCCCCGCGTTGTCTGGGAGGGTACGACCTCCAATCGAGGGTCCATGGAGGCGCCTTCGCTGAATAGACGCACAGAAAACATTTCGGCAGCAGCACCAGCAGAACGCAAGCGGCCTTCCATAGCCTGCCAGGAGGCTCAGCTTTATGGCCCTCCAACCATGCCCAAAGCCGTAACCAGATTGACAAGAAGGTTCAACAACATGGCCAACATGTGAGGGGTGCACTTCGTTTTTCTGAGCCTCGCCGGGACCCCCCCCCCCCCCTTCCCCCGAAGCTTTGGCACCCAACCTTTTGCCTGGAAGCGACAATGGATTCTAGGAATTGTCAGCTCTAACCGTGAATCCTGTATCAGGTCGACCTCTGAACCCCAAACAAAGGACCCAAATGACCGCCTTACCCCCCCCCCCCCCCCCCACAAAAAAAAAACCTGAATCTTGAGAACATCGGAAGCCCTGAGGCCAGGGAGTCCGGGAGGCTTCAGTTTGACAAAGAAGGGGACTGAAAGGAACCGCAATACCAGAGCAAGCACAAAGTTAACAAGTAGCCGGGCTCTCCAAACCCTAAGCCCTAAAAAACCCTGCTAACACCCCGCCCCCCCCCCTTCCCCTCCGCGGCACAGGCCGAGCCTGCTCATGCCTGCGATGCGAACCTTAGACCAGCGACGAAACGCCCTGAGCCTAGAACCGGATTTTTTGGGGTTCAGGGTTTAGGGATTTAGGCAGCCATGATCAGCCTAAAACCTTTTCAATCAGGAGACACTGGAGGCAAGATCCCAGCAAAGCACAGCAGGGGGGAGGGGGGGGGCGGGGCGGGGTGCAGGAGTTGGAGGTTGAACTTCAAAAGGGGGTCTCCGGAACCTCGAAGCCTTTCTTGGGCCGTAAGGGCTTCAAGGTGGTTGAAAATCGAGGGCGCTTGAGGGGGTTTAAAGGGCTCAGGGGGCTTTAGGGTGTTTAGGCTTTACGGAGATCGAATCCCTTTCCTGTTCTTAAACCCCCATAATACAGAAACCCGGATATGGAGGGAAACAAATTCGAACATTAGGGTGTTGCGGGTTGGGTTTAGGATTTTTGCTGTGGGGTTGCAGGGTTTATTTGGGCGTTGGGGAGTCGCTGCGGGTTTGAGCGAGGGATTTCTGGGGTTTCGGTTCGGGGGCTGAGGCCCCTAAGCCCGATCCCTCAACCCTACACCCCACAGGGTGGGAGGGAGGTTAAGTTTGGGTACCCTAAACATTAAACCCCAAAGATAAAGGCCCAGTAGCATGTTAGAATAAGGTGCCCTTTTGTTGATCGGCTACTTGATAAAGGAACCAAGAACGAAAACAAGGGTGAAGGGCACCACTGGGCTAAGGAAAGGAGGTTGAGTTTTGGGTCTGAGTTTGAGGGTTGAATTGAGAGCGGGGATGGTGCCGTCCCAGGCGCGCGGACCATGTCAAGCCATTCGTGCCGCGGGCCTTAGACAGAATGAGTTGCTGACAAGGCTTGGGCTGAACACTCCAAACCAACCTTTAACCCCGGCAACATGCGAAGGTCAGCGTGAGAGAGAAGGGTGCACATGTTCAAGCCCCCTAAACCCCAAAACACTAAAAAAACCACACAACCCCCCCACCCCCCCCCCCCCCCCCCAAAAAAAAAAAAAAAACAATTATTTTACTTCGAACATCCCCACCCTCTCTTGGTAGAGATACTCTGGGGTTGGGCATTCCAGGGACACTGGGCACTCCGGGGACACTCTGGGGTTGGGCACTGTAGGTTGGGCACTCAGGGAGACTCTGGGGTTGGGCACTCCAGGGAGACTCTAGGGTTGGGGAGACTCTGGGGTTGGGCACTCCAGGGAGACTCTGGGGTTGGGCACTCCAGGGAGACTCTAGGGTTGGGCACTCCAGGGACACTTTGGGGTTGGGCACTCCAGGGATGAGTAGACCGGGCGGTTCTGGGCGAGGAGAAGAGTTCCGGGCGAGGAGAAGAGTTGAGTTTAAAATCTAACAACCCCACACCGAGGGTGGGGAAAAAGCCTTAAAGCCCAAAAACCCTTGAAACGCCCAAAATCCTAAAAAACCCCAAGACCCTAAAGCACCCAAAACCTGAACGAAATTCCTGAAAAAGCCCAAGAGCACCTAAAAAACCCTGAAACCAACCCTAAACCTAAACTAAAACCCAAAAGGCCGGGGGTGCCTTTTAGCTGGCGGTCTTCTCTGAAAGACACCCAAGGCTCCTGTTCGGTGGGAGAAACTTGTTTTGCGGGGGGGGGGGGGGGTTTATGTGTTTAAGGGGTGCAGGGTTCAGGGGTTTAGGGGTTTAGGGGTTTTGGGGTTAAGGGGTTTAGGGTTTTAGGGATGGCCAGGGGCAACCCCTGTGCAGTCTCGAAACTGGCTTCTTCACTGGCTCTCCGAGCTGCCGAAGCCGAGTACATGCGGAAGCTTTTGTAGAAATCAAGTTGTTGACTAAAGGCTAAAGGCAACTGCGCTTGATGATGGTCCTGGCTTACTAGAGTTACTAGAGCCGCCATGAGCTTGGCAAAACATCACCAGTTTCACAGCCGAAGGCACATCTTCCGAGGGAATTTGCCACATGATGTTCGCCATCTCCTCACAACACGGGAAGGTGTCCTCTTGGGCCACTTGTGAAATACTTGAGGCACCGTTCTGGGGGCTCTAAGAACAAAGAACTAACAGTTACAGTGGACGACTGCCCTTCGTATTCAAGCCTAGCACGGGTACACCCTTTTGGGAACGGGAATGATAGCATGAGCTCATGTCATTTTATCAACATCCGAGCAGAGTATCGCATAGAATAGTTGAGAGTTTGGGAGCTCAAGAGGAATGACACGGTTTTTATCGTGGAGCATCGAGCTGCCGGGGACTTCTGACCGGCCTCTGAAGCAGAGGGGTTAGGAGGGCAGGAGTGCTGGCATGGCTAGTCACTACACCGGCAGCTGATGGGAAGCCACTCCCTTGACTGGGTAGCTTGCCGTTTTCCTGCCGAGCTGCCCAGCAGAGTCCGATCTCGGGGACAATCATCATCACGAAGACAAAGCCTGAGTTGAGCAATTCCTTCGGCTGCTTTGCGTGCCCTAAGCCAACGTGCCGCGAAACACGAACCAGCCAAACAACCTGAGCTGCACCCGCTTCCTACTTCCAACCCCAGCTCCCCCACCTAGTAGCAGAAAGCACAAAAGGGGGCACACAAGGGGCAACAGGAGGTCCTTCCAGTTGATGGCCTTTCCTGGAGCCATCACGAGGCGAGGAACTGCACAGAGAGAGAGAGAGAGAGACAAGAGCATAACACTAACACAAGCAAGGCACACATGGAAGCAACAACAAAGTCACAAAGAAAACACGAAGAAAGGGGCACGGGGAGCACAAGAAGAAGCACGAGGAACAGCATAATCCGCAGCACACGGAACAAACAGCATGAGAAAAACCAACAGCAGGAAAAACACGGAAGTCCCGGAAAGGCTATCAACATTCTGCACTGAAATGAAATCGGGCCAAACATGTCTCTGTTTGTCTTGTCAACTCCATGTAGTACGACTGTTCTGCGAGTCTACTCTTCCTACTGTCGTATTGCCACTGCTGCAGACTCCTCCTCATCCACCCTCGTCCTCGTCCTCGTCCTCGCTCCTCCTCCTCCTCCTCCTCCTCCTCCTCCTCCTCCTCCTCCTCCTCCTCCTCCTCCTCGTCGGCCTACCCTATTTCAATCCTGCTGCTGCTCCTGCTGGTGCAGTGTGACCACTACTACTATGAGTACCACGACTACTACCGCTGAGAAGCACTACCAAAACGAGGCCCGATGCGACATAGCAGGCCATGCAGCTAAGTATTGCTGTTGCATTCTTGCACCTAATGTTCCCCAGTTCTATGCCTTACCATGTCGTCACCTGGCCTTGCAGCTGGGAAGCGAAGAAGCAGGGAAAGTACTACTGCAAGTTGAGCTAAAGCTTAGGGGACTTGTTAAAAGCCAACTACTAGGGCCATCAAACTAAATGAAACCCCCAACTGGTGGAAAAGCCTTGACATGGTATCTCCCATTCACAAATTATGCTGGCACGCAGAATCTCACCCTCGCCCGACAACAAAAGCAAGGGCCATCTGATCTTTCAACTGTCATCCAGGGAACAGCAAAGGAATCGGCAAAGGCTGCTTTCGATCCCATACTCGCCTCGGGCCGAGTCAGGGCTTCTACGTACTGTGCCTATTCAACAAAAACACAAAAACACTTATGACCTCTGCAAGCCCAGCTCCCAACACTATTCCCACACGCGAAGGCCCCCAACACTATTCCCACATGCGAAGGCCCTGAACTTCTTGACACTCCTGGGGGTGTACGAAGCTCGCAAGACAAGGACATGCCGCCAGGATCGACGAGCTTTGCTATGTCCTCCGCCTTCTCCGGCCAGATTGCCTGGCTGAAACGGCCCCCTGGAAGGTCTCTACAGGAATAAACAAACGAGGACGGGCAGCGGGGCGGGGAGTGAGTCAGTGCCAGCAGGCTGGGCTCACACGAACAGGAGGAACGCTCTGGGCCTTGGACAAAAGCTTTGGGGGCTAAAAAGCGATGAACGTCAAACGAAGGGCCCGAACGAAGCGAAGCCTTCTGTGAGGCAGTTTTAGGTTAAAGGAGGCATCGGAGCTTGGACGAAGGCCCCAAACCTGGACAAAGAGTCATCCCGGGGCCATCCGCAGATCTGTCTGTCCACAGAAAGCCTGATCCCTCCTTTGCTGCATCCGATCGGAGCACAGCCGAAGAAAGCCTGAGACCTAAACACAGTCGAGGGAGCCTCAACTACAAACACGTATACAAAAGAAATCAAAAGAGCTGCAACTGCGAGTGAAGCCCCAACCCTCAAAGAAGAACAAACTGCAACTGCTAAACCTGGCGGACCTTCACGGACCCCCGGTCACGTGCCTGCTACCTTTGCCTGCTCCAGGCCACACAGGGGGAGGCGGTGGTCGACGCGCTTAAAGAGCCCTCCGAAGCCCACCCAAAGTAAACCCACCCAAAGGTTCGGGCAAAGAGCCTGCATGGAGTCTCGGACGAAGAGGCGGGTAGCCCAGGTGTTAAAGCTGTAGATGCGCGGCGGTGTCACTGTGGTGCCTGCGCCAGCTGGGCTGATAGGGGGACTTTAAGGTTTTCTTTTTTTTTTTTTTTGGGGGGGGGGGGGGGGGGTGGGGGGGAGGGTGGGTTGATGGTTGAAGGGCTTTGAGTTTAGGGTTCCACAGTTTCCGGGCTAAAGGTTTAGGGGTCGATCGAACTCTGGAGCCGCGAGTGTCTTAGTCTTAGATCCTGCAACGCCCTGCGCTCAAGGCTCCAAGATCCTTCAAAGCTCTGATCTGTTCTCCAACAAAACACCTGCCCCCTAAAACAAGGAAATCCAGCTGATCACTTCCTGAATCTGGGTGTTAAGGGGGAGAACTATGCCATTGTGCGCCGTCGGAGGGCTCGTAATTTAACGCATGACTTCTCAGGAATTTCCCAGAAACCGTGGCACTTGGAGGCTTTTCACAGACACATGGATTGAGGGTGAGGGCTTCCAGGTTGTTGTGAGAAGGCCTAGGATCCGGGTAGCTTGTGGGAGTCCCGCGATTCGTGGAAGCCTGGGTAGGGTTTGTATGTACTTCCGGAACAGAGGGGGCTGACCTAGATCTGAGCCAATGCGACCGTTTCCTGAAAGCCTAGGGTACCAAACAGCGCCCCTCAGACTAGACCCATCGCCCACAGAAGACCTTCCCAAGTAGAATCATACGCACGCTGGCTGAAGCCCTCGCGTCTCGAACTGCAGCCTCCAGGCCCAGGACATTCGCCACCATCGCAGGTGCCCCCGCCGAAGTTACCTGGTCTAGGGCTTGAGGATATGATCAGGCGATTCTTGTTGGTGTGTCCGAGGGCAATGTGCATATGAGGGCTCACCTCCGAAATCAACTCGACATCGGACCGGACCGAGTCGCAAAGGTGCATCTGCCCGGCGAAGGCATCTTGGATGATCTGTCGCGGCGTGCACGGCTCTCACCCCTTAAACCATACACGAGCAAAGCTTCTGACTCCTCAACACCATCGCGAAACAAAAACGCTCAACCCTCCAAGCCCGAAAGCCCTAAGCCCAAAGACATTCAAACATTCAAACCTCCAAAGCCCCTTCCGTGGAAGTGGCCAAGGCCAAGGCCTGCCCTTTGTTGGGGGGGAAGGGGGTTTCCGCCACTTCTGCCTTTTCTCTGCGGAAGGGACATCCGCACAAACCGCGCTGAAATCCTCCAAGGAGACCCTGGGAGTTCTTGTCGGAACTTGGGATTTCAAGGTCGTTGGAGCCTTCAGAACAACTTCTAAGCCCTGGGCTGCCCAAGCTCCAGTTTCCACGCCTCCTCCTGATCGATGAAGGTCAGCAGTGCACCGTGCAGGAAGATTAAAAGCAGATGGTACGTTACCTTGGCTGATGGGTGGTGGGTATCGAAAGGGCTGCACTGAGCCCAAAATAAGCCAGAGGATACAGGATGTGGCACTATGGTCAGGGCACGCTTGCATGGGCATTCAACACAGGAGACACGGAAAAGGGGGCCGGGGCGCCCCTGACTTAAAAAATTGAAGACTGCATTTTCCAGAGACAGCCAAGTTGCAGACGTCACCTGGAGAGGCGCAGCATGGTTTGGAAAGCTTACGTACGACCCAAAAAAACGATCTGGACTGGTACGCCAACCACAAGCCTACGTACACCGAGGGCAGATAGTAAAGACAACCCACAGCTCTCTGTCGTAAATTGGGGGGTGGCTGGGGGGGTGGGGGGGGCTTTAGCGTCCCGAAGGCGCCCTACAGCCAGTACCCCACCCCCCACAAATCTAACATAATTACATAATAGAGGAATAGAATGATAGAATATTCTGATCGTCTTGGAAGAGAAGGGTAGAATCGTATGATAGTAGAATAGTATAATGGTAGAACAGTGTAGCAGAACAAAACAGAATACCAGCACACAAGCATCAAAGTATTGTAGTAAAGTAACAAAAATATATTCATATAATGATAAAAAAATAGTTCTTACGCCTGCAAAACCGAAACCCTCTCATAAAGCCCGCCGCGGCGCCACGAGGCTCGAGAGTTCTGCAGGCCACCCCAGTGTTCGGGCGATCTGTGGCATAAGAATCCTTAGGCAGAAGGCCCCAGCAAAACGGGAGTTCAGGGTTTTGAGGCTTTTGGGCTGAGGAATTGAGGCTGGGACATGTCGATAGTCCTGAGTAGGGTTCCGCTTGGGAGGGGGGGGGGTTGCTACAGCGCACCAGTCGTGCTGGAAGCAGAGCCTGATTAGCCCTGCCTGCCTGAGGGTTTAGAGTTTAGATGTTACCTGGCCGGCTCCCCGAAACGGAGCCCTCAACTCAGACTCAACTCTCAATCTTCACATCGGCCCCAGGTTCCCGCAGGGCGAGTACCTCGTGGTCTCCTTTCACCTCCCAAAAAACATCCGCAAGCAAAAGAGCTCCAAAAGCCATGTTCAACAAAAGGAAGCGAAAAGGCCCCAACGGTTTCAACCCTAAACCATTATAAACCCGGAAGCTTATATAAACCCTAAACCTAACCCTAAACCCCAAACCCTCCACCCTCAACCCTAAACCCTAACCGCCTGTATAAAAGGGGCTTCAAAGGAGGCTTGAAAAACAATCCTGGACCCCCTCTGAGTCGGCCCGGGTCGCACGGCGCCGTAGACGGAGCCAGCTTCAAGGTTCAGGGTCCTCGTCAGAGGAAGGGTCTGTAGGGTTTAGGATTGAAAGGGTGAAAGGGTGAAAGGGTGAAAGGGTGAAAGGGTGAAAGGGTGAAAGGGTGAAAGGTTTAGGGTTGGTCTTGAGGGTTTAGGGTCTGTGAGGTTTAGGGTTGTTTAAGTACACGGTCGAGTAGGGTTTGGGGTTGGGGCTGGGTTTTAGCGCTCAAGGGGAGGTGGTTTAAAGGCTGCTTCGCAGACAAAAAGTGGCTTTCGGGGATTCCAGTCTTCACCCCTCCCCATACCAGGGGTAGGTATGGGGGGTGTTCAGGGATCTATCTGCAAGCTTCGCATCGATTCTTCTGCCTTCTGCTGGGGTCGACCATGGGTCTTCATCGGGTACTAGGATGGCCCCCTTCAACCTCTGAAAAATATTCCTAAACATCATCCTCTCATAAGGGAACGGGTAAAACATCCCCGTGCTAAGAGCCAGTGAGTGAAGGGGGCATCATGGTCCTGCCCCTCGGGATGCCTCAACTACCACTTTCCCCCGCTGAGACCCTCGTTGGAAGCGTTCGCTTGGTTGACCCGTTCCTTGTGGATTTTGAGGCTTCTCAAGGGGCTTTAGGGCTTCGCACATCTGAGGTGTCAGAGACTTAGCACAAGACCTGTGCTTCGGGGGCTTGGGGTTTAGGAGCTGCTTTGAGCCGGCAGATCACTTGCTACACCCTGGCACTCTTCCACGCTGCGGGGCCCCCTACTTTGAATAGCACAACGCTCTAGGTCGTTTAACCTCTCAGGCACCATTAAGACCTAACTCCCCAGGGCCAAAGGGTACTTAAGTTCTCCAGCGTTCCCAAGCAGCGCCTGTCGGCCATCGATTGGAGCCCGCCCAGTAAGCGCACGCCCGCAGCCCTTAGATTCAAGGGCGCGAAAAACATTGGGTGTACACGTTACTTCTGCGTATTTGTTTTGAGATAATATGTGTATGCACAACTTGTTTGTCTCATTCGTTCTTATCCGATATTAGGCTGTAGACCTGTAGGGTCCAGACTGTAGATTCTAGCAGACAGTGGTATGCTCAGGTAGGCTGGAAGCAACATGAGCAGTGGCAATGCGCCTGTGGTGGGGGATAGCTCATCAGCCAAGCCGAAGGACAAGCTCTAGCTCCAACAGCGGGAAGACTTGTGGCTTCGGGTAGCATCAAGGTAGTTTTCTCATCAAAGCCAGCACCCTAAAGCCCAAATCGGACAAGCCCAACACCTTCATCCCTCCGTCCCCCGGGCCAAAAAAAAGAACAAGAAACAAGGAAACGCACTCTCAAGACCCAGGGCACCCTGAGCCCCATCAATTCTGCGAGGTACGACTATACGTTCAATATCAGCAAGTCAACCCTAAACCCCAGAAAGCCCGACAAGCCCTAGAAACCCTGCAAACCCTCTAAACTCTGCAAGCCCTACAAGCCCTGCAAGCCCAATCAACCCTACAAGCCCTCGATTAAGCCTATGAACCCTGTAAACCCGTCTAACCTCCTCTACACCCTCTCAGCTAAACATCCCTAAACCCCTAAACATCCCTAAACCCCCACCCCCTAAACCATCTAAACCCTAAAACCCTAAGCCCCAAACCCTAAACCCTAAAACCCTAAGCCCCAAACCCTAAACCCTAAAACCCTAAAACCCTAAACCCTAGACCCCAAAGCAAACCCCCCCCCCCCCCCCGAAGCCCCCCGGGAAGGCCCAAGGGACATCGTGCTCGGCGGCTCGGGCTCGGCGCCCTCCTCTCCGTGGAGGGCAAAGGCCCGGACCTGCCACTCTTAGGGTTTAGGGTTTAGGGTTTGGGGTTTGGGGTTTGGGGTTTGGGGTTTGGGGTTTGGGGTTTGGGGTTTGGGGTTTGGGGTTTGGGGTTTGGGGTTTGGGTTTTTTTGTTTTCATTGGGGCTTTTAGGGTTTGAAATAGGGCTTTAAATTAGGGTTTGTAGAGGTTTGTGGGTATAGGGCTTTGTAGGGTTTGCAGGGTGTACGAGCTTGGGACCCGGCGGTTAGGGTGTTGCGGTTTTCAGGGTCTAGGGATTACGGGTTTTATGGGGTTTGCGGGTCTAGCACAGGGGGCACCGGAAAACTACGAGCTGCAGGCGGTTCAAGCCGAAAACCCCTCGAGGCTTCGAACCTCAGGGCAACCAATCGCCTCCATGTTTCGGACGCTCAGTCAATCAATTACAGGGCGCAGGGGCTTACGTCGTAGCCCAGTAACCATGCTAGAGCAATGGTACCTTGACAATTTGGGGGGTTGCTGATGGTTGCTGACTTTAGAAGGGGACGTAGGAACAAAACAGGGGAGAGTACCTGCTATTATGGCTTAGAGGGCCTCAAACCCTCAACCCTAAACCCTAAACCGTAGACCCTAAACCCTAAACCCTAAACCCTATAAGCCACAAATAGCTGACTCTGAATGTTTCTGGCAAGCTGGGGCTCTGGCAGACGTCGACTCGCCCTCCCGAGTGTTGCTGCAAACCTCGCATGGAACGTAGGGACGAAAGGGGGGGGGGGGGGGGGTAGGGTTTAGCCTGGGGTTTAAGGTATAGCTTGCCATGCAAATAAGGGGCACAACAAAACAAAACAAAACGGTGCCCCTTCTTTGTTGAAAGTGGTTTCTCATGGGAGCTTAACCCGACAATGGCGGGAATAAGGGAAACGACAGTTGGCGGGACTAAGGGAAACGACAGTTGTCCTAGAACCCTGAGGCTTAAAACTACCGAACAGACACCAAATTGGGCCCTCGCATCCCGAACAGGCAAGTGCAGTAGAGAGACAGGGCGGTAATTCAGATCGATGCTCATTTCGCCGGCTCTGCTGCCGCCACCTGTGGCCACGGGTTCGGGTGTTGAGTTTAGGGTCCCTGCACTGAAGATCGACCCTATCTGCCCCAACGACTCGGAAAACCGTACGGATAACTAACCCCCTCCCCAACTTGACTGTAAATGGGAGATGAGCATCAAAGGGTGGATCCGGCAAACCTTTACAGAGCGATCCACACTACTTCAGGTGCCCGGTTCAGGATAACTTATACCGGGCAACGAACTGGAGTTCAGTCTCCCAGAAGTTCATTCTCGATTTTTGAGGAGGGCGAAGGGCCGTCTACCTGGAAGGGTTTGGGGTTTAGGGTTTCGGGATGCGGGCTCTTTCGGCCTCAAAGACTAAGTGATAAACCCTTCAACTATAAACGCCGCTCCTTTCCATATTTTGCTTCATGCCAGCATGCGCAGCCATGTGCTGCCCCACTGCCCCAAAGCCCGGGCTTACCTTTCCCGTTAATTGAAACCCCTTGATAGGCACCTACAATTTCTCCGGACCCCCTTCTAATACCCACAACTTCATATGGCAACTGCGCAGGAAGTGACGCGCCTCGAACCATCATATTGTCGTAGCCTGACGTCACTTGCAATTTCTGCTTCAGGGGCCCGGAGGGAGTGGCCGCCTGAATACATCAAGTCATCTAGGCGCATGGATGCAAAATACGTGTGCGTTGAAGTGTATACATTGCCCCAAAGAGAATGTTGCAGAGATGCCCTGCCCTCAATGTTCAGCTCCTGCAGGGTGTTGCTATGCGTGAGGTGTTCAGTGGCTCAAGGGCTCTCGATTTTCTGAGTTGGCACTCCGAAGCCACCCAACCCATGCTTCCTCTGCCCTTGGCTTTTTCACCCAACACCTTGGGGGAGGATGGGGGAGGGGGGGGGTACCTAGAGGCGTTGGAGGCGTTGGAGACGACTCTGTGCTTCAAGCACTTCTTGGGGCTCGGAGAGTTCGATCACCGTGGCTTTGCCTTCGGAGTGATCTTAAAGGTGGGTCGCATTGGAAAGCCTGGGGAAGCCTGAGTTTCAAGGTTTAGGGCTTAGGGTTTGGGGTCTCGGGGAGAAAGGGCCCTCTTGGAGAGCCGTTTGAGCTTGAGGTCCCGGGCCCATCCCCAAACACTCCGGAACCGGCCTCTCGGTCGATACGACTTCGAGGGAAGGTACGGCATGATCCAGCAACGGCGCTCCAGGGCAGGAGGGGAGCGGGGCTTTAGGGGGGCTTTAGGGGGCGTTTAGGGGGGGGGGGGGGGGTTAGGGGGGTTTTGGGGTTTGCGGTTTCGAGGGGCTGGTTGGTGGGGCTTGCGAGTTTTGCGGGGTCTGGGCTTGCAGAGAACACTACGAACATCGGTAGAATTCTAGCTTGCCCTTCAGGTCCCACATGGCCAAAGCATAAAGTTGGGAGCTTCACGAGGTTCAGCTTGAGCCGAGAAGGCTAGATGCAGCGGCTCGACGTGCGCAGGCCATCCCAAAACTCGGGACCCTGAATCCAGGGAAAGTTCAGCCCTGAGCATCGGGGGGGGGGGGGGGACTTCAAAAGAGGGTAGGGAGAGAGATGCAACGAGAGTTGCTAGAGCCAGCTACCGCTTCGCCGATGCACGCTTCGCCACGTAGGTCTAATGCTCATCAGCTGTCAGACAATTAACTCTGTGGCGAGGCCCGGAAGCCGGAAGCAGGGCACATGAGCACTAACAACATCCGCAGCGGCTGAGGGTCCAAGGGGCTTAGGGGAAACCATGTCTCTGCCTCCGTAGCTCCCAGACCCGAAAGCGCTGCACCAGCTCACGAGGTTCTGGGTCTAGGTCCCGAAATGCCTAAAACCCAACACCCCAAAGCACACCAAAGCCACCCTGCAAACCAGCCCTGAAAACCCCACACCAACGTCTACTAAACCCAGCAAAGCCCCTGCGCGCCCAGAGGAGCTCCCTCTTCGCCGCCGGCGTCGCGACCTGAAGGGGACGGAGGTCGTTGTCTCAAGAGGGCTTCGGGAGGGCTCGGGCTTCTCTGAAAAAACCTGTTTTTTTTTTTGCGTCCTCCTCTGAGATGTCTGGGATCGTCCGCTGAGTGGGGCTGGTGGACTTGGAACCCAAGTTTGTGGAGACATCGCAACCTTTCTCAACAAGGCGTTTATAGCCAGGGTTCTACGAACTAAGCAATACAGGGGAAACCAACTGATAAGCAAAGCTTCCAGACTCGTACCCACTGAAGCTTTCCAGGATTGGTATCGTGCTTTTGTGCGCTTCGGGGAAAGGAGGGTTGCCTGAAGACTCTGAACTCTGGGCTGGCAGTGGTTTTGGAGTCTCTTTACAGGGGAAGCAGTGGCCTGAGCAAGAAGACTGAACTTCATGAGGATTCATGTAACTTATGGTCCCATCGACTACTGTAAGAAATAAGAAACCGTAAAACTCGAACTGCACGTCGCCAAGCTCGCTTGTCTCGCAGGCGATCATTCAAATCACCCCGCCTCTTCCGAGACCGTTTGCGGCTTTCGCGTGTGGCCTGTGACAGCGACTGCAGTCTCTCCCACTTTGGGGAGCATTTAAAGAAACCCTTGAAGATACTCCTTTGTTACCCCAAATAGACTAGAATCCCTTTACAGCGACCGCCGAAAAGGGTACCCCCTATTGAAACCCCCCATATGAAAATATCTGCAGGCTTGGTGGCAGGAGCCTCGAACCGACCTTCAAAAGCTCGCATCAAGGGCTTCTGAGCAAAGAAAAGACTTCTGCTCTTCACTGAAACTGTCAACCAGATGCGCATCACTCCTGAAACTACGAAGCCCCGTCCATTTTTCAAGGCGCAACCCGTAAACAGCGCCGAGACAAGCGCCTTGGAGGCATCCGCTTTTCGTGCTTCGGCGGCCTGAGACCAGTACGGATGATTTGCGCATGCCCGTGGGCGAACATTGGGGATGTCGCCCCTTGGAGCAGCGATCTCTCTCCAGGATTCGCTTAAGTTCAGTGCATTTCAGTGCCCTACGCGTGTTAGGTAGAGGGGGGGGTGACCCTCTCGTTTCGGGCCAACGTTCTGCGATGCAAAGGCCGCTCTTGGGGAGGAACCTGTTCAACTCAAAGGTTCTAAGGCATTCTAAGGTTCCTATTGTGGCTCGATGCCGATCTTGTCCCTTGCACACCCTAAACCCGACTCTAGGCCCCAAGCCTTTCCCCTACCGCGAATGCTAAGCCAACCCTGATCCAAAACAACAACAAAGTGGAAAACACCTAAAGCCACTACCACAAACCCGACACTCTAAAGCCTGTATCCTTAGCCTAAGACCCTTGAAGAAACAAAGAAGCCAAATCGCACCTCCCGCTCCCTGAAGCGCTGGCCTAAGTCTCTTACACTGGTGCTGTAGGGTGTTTGGGTTCAGGGCTTCAGGCTTCTGAGGGGATTTGAAGTTGTGCTTCAAGGGCCGCTGAAGCCCCGCAAACGAAACCGTACTTGTCTCGCGCTGATGTAATTGGAGCCTCGGTCCTTACTGGTGCTTAAGGGGACGACTAGGCTGGCGGCCAAGGGATGAAAGAAGGGCATCCAGTGACCCTACGTTCTAACGCACCATACACCGGTAATGCACCGCGGGGGACTAGGGGGGGGGGGGGGATGGGGGCTAAACCCCAACCCCCCAAACCCCTACAAAAAGGTTGCACACTTTCGGGGTCCGTAGTTCTGCGGCAGGTGCTTCCGAACTTCTTCTGCTGAGGATGTCAAGACTGGAGTGTAAATGGACTTGAAAAGGATTCTGTCTTCCCCCGCCCCGGCTACTCCTACTCCTACCGAAATGAGTTTCAAATAAAATTCCTTCAACCACACTTGGGCCTCAGTTGAGGGTGGCTGCAGAACCACCTCTTTTGTGTGAGGGCGCGTGATAGAAAGAGGTGCCTCCACACCGGAATTCCCAAGCAGCTGCTGCGTAAAGCCGTTCGGGACAGACTTCTCCAGGGCTGCTATGGCTGCTATGGTTTCGGGGTGAATCTTTAGGGGGCTGATGCATGAACTGATCTCGAACCCACCCCGGCCTACAGCAGGGAGTGGAGGGCTTGGAGCCCCAAGAGCCCGAAAACCCCCAAAGCCCAAACTGCCATCAAAAAAGCCCCACAGCCCAACGCGCCGCGCGGCCGAGCTGTGCTTGGGTGTTGCAGGCCATGCAGCGAGGGTGGCCTCGTTCAGAGCTTCTTGAACTTCGGGCTGCTTAGGACTTGAAGTTGAAAGCTTCGGCTCCCGGGCTTCAGGGATTGCTTAAGGTTCGAGTGTTTGTGGAGGATGGCCTCCATGAGGCCACACCTGGAGGTTGCAAGCTCAAGGTGAAGGAGTTTACTCCCGACCCCTCAGCACGACACCTGACCTGACAGTTCAAGCCGAGCGTCGTCAAACCCGGAGTGTGAGGGGATGCAGGGCTTTGATTTCTTCCGGGTTCAGGGCTCAGAGCTACAAAAACTTGGAAAACTTCTCAACGACATCGGGAGCAGCTCTCTTCCCGCCCCCCCCCCCCCACCCCCGGCTACCTGGTTAAAGTCCAAACTCCCCCAGCGCTTTGGACTCCACAGATCGGGTATTGGGTATAAGGTATAGGGTATAGGGTTTAAGATTTAGGGTTTAGGGTTTAGGGTTTAGTACGGACTTCAAGGATTGTTGTTGGCACAGGGTAGATATCGGTAGATGATCCCAGCCTTTTTGGGGTTCCTACCGAAACCCTTGGTCCATAGTGCCCGTTCTTGGAAACCCAAGAAGCCGTCTTGAATTGAAAAGTCACACTAGGGGTACGTGAAACCCATACTCTTGTGTAAGCGAAGACTTTGGGGCGAAGCTGTGGCGCCTGAGGCGTCACGCTCCGCGCCGATGAGGCACTCGGCGTGCACCCGGTGCCCGCACCTTGAGTTGTGTCGGGGGCTGTTCTGGTGTTCTGGCGCATTCAAGGTGGCTTTAGGGGCTTTCAGGGGGCTCGGGGTGTGAGGGCAAGACCCTCTCAGGGCTTCAAGAAGCTTGGAATTCGGGCTGAAGATTCTTGAGGTTGGCTTTGCGGAGTAGCATGACCAAATCGTTGTTCTCGGCAAGACCAGCATGGACTCGAACTGAGAACTAGAGCCCCGAACAGATTTCGCCCTTGAACCGTGAAATTCGAGCAACGAGCAAGGATTGCCGAACCTCCAACCCCAAGCAGCTTTATGGGCTTTACAGTAGGGCTTGCTCCCAAACAAATGAACAACCCTAACTATCGGCGGCACGAAGGAATTTTCTGCATGTCGGGTGGGACAAAGTTGGGCGTCGAACTTGCGGAGGTCCAGCGTCCCGCAGGTTGCCGTCAGAGGGCCCATGCCTCTCGCGAGTTCTTTAGGGCTTAGGATCCTTGCATGGGCTTACAGGGTAGTTACCCTAAACCCTAAACCCGAAACCCTAAACCTTTAACCCTAAACCCTAAAATTTTACAGGGCCTTTAAGGGTTTCAAGATCCAGGTCCCAAACTGAAGGAGGGGCCTAGCATTTCAGCTCTGGCAGACCCGCTTCACTACTCACCTCTCATCACCTCCCTCTCCCCTCTGTGAGCCGCCAGTTCCGATGACCCATGACACCGGCGGACATCGAAAACTGGCGCCCGCCAAGACGCGCTTAGTTGCCCTGGCTCCACCCCATACAAACAATAGTCGTCCAGATGCATCAACAGCTCCTGGAATGCCCTTCATTAAATGGATGATCCCCCCCCTTTCCTTTTTGGGAAGATTTCCGACACTGCAAAGTGTGTCACTGAGACCCTAAACCCTAAACCCCACTCCCTGAACCCTGAACCCTGAACCCTGAACGCTGAGCTGGGTGCAGACTCCGCAGACCAGCCCGCGAGCGATGTGGCTCAGGATGTCCAGAGCCTTCCGCTCCTGCTCAAGGAGGGGTTCAGGGTGCAGGGGCCGCTACAGGTTTCAGGGTCTGAGCTCTAGCTTAAAGGTGCAGAAAACACCTTCCCGTTTTGAATTTACATGGTCAGGCCTAAACTAGGGTTCAACGCTTGGGCACTACCAGCGGTTTAGGGCTTGGGGTTTAGGGTTTAGGGAATGGGTCCTATGAGAAGCATACAACCAAAAGCCCCAAATCTTCTGTAAAGCCCCTAAACCCTGAACCCTAACCCTAAACCCTGAACCCTAAACCATCCTAAACCCCTCAACCTCAACACCCTGCAAATACCCTCAGCCCGACCCTAACCCGAAACCCTAAACCCTGGACCCTGCCAAACCCTAACCCCTACACCCTATAAACCCTAAGCCAAGTCCAAAATCCCCAACCTTTGGTCAGGTTCCGGGGTGTGCCTCGAGCTCTTCGGCTGAGAGCCTCGGCGAGGGCGACGGGCGCCTGCGCTGGTTGGGGCTCATCCCTTTTTTGGCCCCAGGTTTAGGCCC